CAAACTTATGCTGGGGGGCTTAATTAATATTCAACCTAAGACCTGGTGGGCCCACGCTTCGAACAGAGTCCCTCCCTCTCTAGACTCACTTCGCCTCTTGGACGTGCTGGCCGATGGCCGAACCATGCAATGTAGTGTCCGACACAAGTTCTGTGCTGCCGTACACTGCACCCAAATTCTCTGTAGTAATCAAAGTGCGCCTCTGACACAAAATCCAATTAGCGTGTATGCAGGGGCGGGCAACACCATGAACGCCGCGGCGTGTGAGAGGCCTCCATATCTGTGATGCTGGTCATGTCCCACTGTCGTTCCACGGGAGGCGGGGCCTGTAAGGAGAACGCTCTAGTGGTCTCTGTGGGGCCCTCGTTTTCCACTCGTCGTCCCAGTGGTATTGTGCCCATCTGAATGTGCACTTGTCGGTGCTCCAGAAATAAACAGCTTATGTCGGTGCAGGCTCCGCTGGCCTGCACTCCGAGATGCCCTCGCTGGTGCAGCCGCAGGCGCGAGCGGGCGCTCGCACGCGCGGCCGCTGGAGCTAGCCGCTCCACCTGAAACGGCGCATTGCTCGAACATCTCGGTGCCGTCGAGCAGGGTGCCCGTGCTGTCGCGCAACTCCTGACGACACTGAAGCCTCTCGACTTTTTCCTTCTCGGGCTTCTCGATGGTCTGCAGAGCTCCCTCTCGGATGCCTCCATGACGCTCTGCAGGTTATCCAGGTCATTCTTCGCGATCCGCATCGCAAGCTCGCACCAGCTGCGCGACGAGACATACTTCTTCCCTGCTGCTTGCCACACGTCCACCTGGGTGCCGTGCAATCAGTTCGCAGCCCTTTCCGTGGTGCGTCATCGGGAAGACGGGTGGGATCATCGCCTGCAGGTCATCTGGGCTCAGCTGCTGGGCTGCATCGAAGAACTGGTGGTGGTGCCATTTGATGGCGTCCTCGATTTTCTGCGGCAGTCTCTCGGCTGCAAGTGCCTCCACTTGCCATTGCTGAGAAGCTCCACCAACATCGACGGGCCGTTGCGGTGCGGGTGGATCTGCGACATGCAGTTGATCTCAGGCCATTTCGCGCGGTCCTCGGTGAAGGTTGCTCTTCATCTTGTCCACCCATTTTTTCATGAGCTGGTCCTCGGGGAAGCTCCCCTGGGCAGTCACCGGCGCCTTTAGTCCACTTTGCACCAGCACTTCCACTGATCTGATTGTGAGTTAACAGTTAGCGCTCGGGCCCCTCCACCACAGCTTGCTGGGAAAGGCTAGTCCGCACGAGCAGGCGCAGTCCTTGTCCTTGTCAAGAAGAGGAGGAGGAGGAGGAGGAGGAGGAGGAGGAGGAGGAGGAGGAGAAGGAGGAGGAGAAGGAGGAGGAGGGGGAGGGAGATGACAGGAGAGTGTGGGGCTTTCGTCGGGCTCATCGGGCCTGTAGGGCGCACAGGGCTCATGAGGCTCATATGGCCCATAGGGAAACTGATGCTCGTCGGGCACATGGGGCTGTAGGGCTCGTAGGGCCCATAGGGCTCACAGTGTTCGTGGGGCTCACGGGGCTCGCAGGGCAAGGGGGCCTCATAGGGCTCGTAGCCCTCATAGTGCTCATGGGACTCGTCTGAGGATAGTTTTAGCGTGTGGTTGGCGAGTTTGCTGACCGTGGAAGGGCACGGAAGCACATCAGGCAGAGAGTAGAGAGTAAGAGAGATAGAGAGAGACGGGGGAGAGAGGGGAGGGGAAGAGGTGGTCATAGGGTGTGTGGGTCTCGTAGGGATCGAGAGGGATCGTAGGGATCGAAAGACTCGTTGCGCTCATGGCAGAAGTGTCTTTTGGGGGGGTTCTTGGAGGGCACATGGGGCTCATAGGGCTCACAGGGGTCGTAGGGGTAACAGGGCTAGGAAGGATCGTAGGGATCATGAGCTCATAAGGATGATGGGCTTGTAAGGGTTGGACGGTGGTGCAGGTAGTGAGGAGAGCATAGGGTCGTACGGCGTATTGTGCTCGTGAGCGTACGTGTTGCAGAGGGCTCGTAGAGGTCATAGGGCTGATAAGGCTGATTGGGCTCAGAGGGCTCGTAGCGCTGACAGGGGCGGTATGGTTCGCTGAGCTCGAAGGGCTCGTACGGCCATCGGGCTCATAGGTATCGTAGGGCTGAGGAGCTCACTGAGCTCATGGGCCCGTGAAGCTCATTGGCCTCAGAGGGCTTGTTAGAGAGGCGTCTCGGGGGCCTTTTGGAGGGCGCACAGGGATCGTATGCCTCATAGGCTCATAGGGGTCGAACGATTTATATCGATAGCGCCATCTGAACCCGTCTTGCGGGGCCTTGTGGGTAGTTCCGCTGCCTTCTTGGGCCGTCTCGGGGCCTCCTTGACATCCAAGTTCGCCGTTCAGATGGTGTGAGGGCGCGAGATCGGGCGCTCAGGGTTTGGGGGCGTCTTGGTTTTTAGACTTTGGCACGTGATTGAACACATCGACCACGCAACCTCGCGAAGTTTCATTACTGGGGCCTCTCAGAGTCTTCGCGGGGATCTTTGTGGGGCTCTTTAGGACCGTCTGGCGGCCTTCACTGGCCGCCCCAGAACCCTCTTGAACCGTCTTGGGTGGATTTGGCCGTCTTGTGGCTTTCTTGGGGCCCTATTGGACCCTCTTGGGGTCCTCCTGTGGCCTTCTTGGGGCTCTCTTGGAGGCCTTTTCGGACCCTCTGGGGCCCGTCTTAGGCCGTCTTCGATGTTTTTTTGGCCGTCTTGGGGCCCTTTTGGACAATTTGTGGGCCGTCCTGGGGCGATCTGTGGGGTCGATTGAGCTGTCTTGGACGCAGTTGGGACCAACAAATCGAATCTGCTGAACATGTAGGTTTCCCTGAGGGAATGGGCCGATGTTTGTATCTTTGGGGTCCCCTTGGGGGCCTCTGGAGGCGTCTTGGGAGCCTCTTGGGCCATCTTGAAGCCACCTTGGGTCCTCTTTGAGCACTCATGGGCCGTTCTGCAGCGGCCTTGGGCCGTTTCGGGGCTGCTGCGCGGGACGACAGTCCGGGAAGCGATCCTGGGCCCGCTCGGGCGGCGTAGGATGGCCTGGAGGGCACCCGAAACAGAAAATTCAAATTTCACGTTGGTGAGGGCCGAATTTATATACACTCGGGGGTATGTACGGGGAGGGGGCGTTGTTCCTTATAAGATTAGTGGAGAAGGAACATCTTACATAATATAGATTGCACAGCATATACTCCACCACGTAGATTTTATTACAGCTATTCCACAGCAAATATACAGATATGTCCGTATACTGGCTTGTATGGTCATACCCTTTGGTGCGTGTATCCCCTACTGTGCCGCGGCGCGCCGTGTGCGCTCGGTGAGTCGCGCACGAGCGCACTGCAGGCGTGGAGATGGATGCTGCGGACGGCGGCGGCGTCGTCGCCTCAGTCGGTGAGCTGCTGGACGACGGCCTGGGGCTCGAAGTCATCGGGGACGGCGAGGCGGCTGGCGCCTCGGAGGAGCTGGAGCCGTCGCCCGCCGAGCCGATCACCATCGAGCCGAGCTCGTTCTACTCGAGCACAGGGTTCGGCCACGACGGGGAGCAGCAGTGCGGTTTCGTGTGGCGTGCGCTGCGGGCCATGGCCCCATGGCCGCCCCCGAGCAGCTCGTGCGCGCGAGGCTCCTCTTCAGCGACGGCGCGTACTGGGACTGGTGGGCGGCGTTTCCAGGCGTTGCGGGTGCGATCCCCCCCAGCGCTCTGCTGCGCGTCTGCACGGACGAGCCGCGCGGTGTGGAGGCACCCGCGGGACGCGACGAGCTAATCCACGTCTCGGACGCCCGCAGGCAGAGGACGTCGCCGAGGTCTTCTCGAACTGCTTGCCCCGCAACCCCGATGCGGTCTGGCCCGCGGACCTGCCGGGGCCGCGCGCGGCGCGGGTGGCCGCTCCACGTCGGGCGGCGCGCCCGAGGAAGGCGAGCGCCGCGCCGCCGACGCCTGGTCCAGCAGGGCCGCGCGCGGCCAAGCATGCGGCCGAGGGCCACGACGCTCCCTTCGATGGGTTGCTCGGCGACAGTGCCCTGACCGCGGGGGCTGCGGGCCCCCCTCTCGACCTGGAGCCCACGCGGGACGAGCTGCGGGCCAGGCTCGCTGCAGCGCGGGGCCGGTTCGCCTCGGCAGCGCCAGGGGCCGCTGCGGCTGGCGCGCCTTTAGTCAGCGCAGAGGCCGCGCCGAGCGAGGGCAAGCCGAAGAAGCGGGGCCTCGCCGAGGTGCTCGCGGAGCGCATGGCGAAGGTCGCAAAGGGCCCCAGCGCCGAGGCGACGCGCGTCTCGGGCGGGCCAGCTGCTGCGGCTGCGGCCGGCGGGGGTGCTGCAGGAGAGGGCGCGAAGGAGTTGGCGACGGCGCTCATGGCAGTGCTCAGGAGCTCGGCCGCGCAGGCTGCTGGCAGCTCGAACGCCGGCGCCGCCGCGGACCCCCTCGGCGCGGCCGACGGGGCCGCGGCCGCAGGGGGTCTGGCGACGACGCGGGCTCACTGCAGGAAGATGGCGCAGGGCCAGCCTGGCAAGTTGTCAGAGCGATTCAGATGGCGGAGTTCCTCGGCGCCGTCGAGGGTGACGCGGCGGCGGGCCCGACGACGGCGCGCGCTGAGGCACCTGCTCATGATCTACCTGCCGCAGAGCCCGGTGCAGCATATCGGGGTGGCTGCGTATCGCGAGACGCGGGCGCTGGCCGAGGCGATCGACTTCCTCCTCCAGGGCGAGATTCCTCAGGCGCTGGACATCTTGACCCAGCGGCTGATGGCGGCGCAGGTGGCAGTCGGCGACGGCCACTGGGGCGCGGCGAAGTGGCTCGAGTTGATCCCCGCCAAGGACGAGCCCACCGCGTTGCGCAGCGAGGAGGAGGAGGAGGAGATGATCCGCAGTATCGAGCTCGGCGAGTTGAAGCTGGAAGAGCTCAGCAGCCGGCTTCGCAAGCCCCATGGTTGAAGTGGAGGCTGGGAGGGGGCGCGCCCGCTGCTGGCGCCTCCTCCTGCAAGCCAGGCGGGGGGGATGCCCCCCGCGACAGCGCGGCTGCCTGGGAATCGCGCGCCCGACCGCCCGAGGGAGCCGAAGGGCAGCGCGAAGGATGGCGAGGGGCCGCCTCGCCAGCGCGTTTCGCAGCTCGACGGGGCCGCCAAGAAGCTGCCCGCTGGAGGCTCACAGGCGCCGCTGAACTGCAAGGCGGCGAGGGCTGCCTGCCCGAAGAAGGATGGCGAGACGTCGAAGGAGTACAAGGCGCGGTTGCGGATCTTCATGGCGGAGTCGCGCGGCCAGAAGCGGTAGCAGACGTTGCCGAGGCCGCTGGAGGTGCAGCTTCCGAGGAGGAGGGCGCGGCGCGGTTCCCGACCTGTAGCAGCGGGTCGCTGCTCGCGTCTGATGACTTCCCCCGGCTGGAGGCGGAGGGGCCAAGGAGCCGCTTCGCGGCGGGGGCGCCTCCTGGCGGGGGCCAGCAGCGAGAGCCGGCGAGCGCCTCACTCCTAGACGGCATGCGGGGGCTCCCCGCCGCGGGCTGTGCTGCGCGCGCGACGCTGAGGCGTGGCGCGCCGAGGTCACGGTCCAGTTCGGCACGACCATCACGAGCGTCGACATGGCGGTGCACCTTGTGCAGCTCGTCGAGCGCCACCCTGGCAGCCTGGTGGACTTCTCGAGAGAATTTGCAGAGCGCGTGTCCACACTTAGCGGGAGCGGCAGGCGCGTTCGCGACTTGTTGCCGCTGCCCCTGCCAAGCCTCCTGGCTGTTAGGCGCTGGTGCGCGACCAGAGATGCTGGGCACAAGTGCAGAAGCGGGCCTCTCGCTTGACAGGTAGCTGAGGAGGCCTAGTTGCTTCTCACCGTCACGGCGCTGAATTACACGTACTGTGGTCGCTGCAAGGAGGGTTGGAGGCATCGCCCGACTTTGTCCCAGGCACAGCAGCAGGCACTGGGCTTCCCGAAGTCCCGCGTCGTCGACTTCCTGGGGGGACCCGTTCGAGCAGGTGAGCGCGCCCGCCGCCGACGCGGCCCTCAGCGAGGCGACCGTGGACTACACGGGCGAGCCCGTGGCCAAAGCGTTGCCCCGCGTGCTCGCGGAGCTGGCGCCAGGCTTGCCGCGGCCCGAGCATGCCGCGGCGCTGGGCGCCTTGGACTTCGTGGAGCCCGACGTTTCCGAGTGGCTGGCCTCGCCCGAGAAGGCTTTTCTTCCCGAGGCCGACTGGCCCGACCCCATGCTTCGAGCCAGGGTCAACGTCGCGGGCGAAGCGGGTTGGCGCGAGCTCGCGGTGCACCTCGTGAAGCTCGGGATTTCCGCGGTGCTGAGCGAGGGCCAGCTCGTCAGGGTCCAGGGTGGGCCGCTCATGAACGGGCCCTTCGCCGTGGAGAAGAAGGGCAAGCCAGGGCCAGGCGCCGAGCGGGTCACCAGGCCAATCATGAACATGGTCCCTGGCAACGCCCTGCTCAAGCCGCATGTCGGTGAGGCGTCACTCCTCGCGGCGTCTACGAACTGGGTGTCCTTGCACATCCCCGAGGGCAAGTTGCTGCTGTGGTCGGGTGACGACCAGAAGGGGGCCTTCTTCGTCCGGATAATCCCCTAGGTCTGGCACCCCTAAATGGCTGTCGGCAGGTCTCTCCCTGGCGCGCTCTTCGGGCGCCCCGAGCGGCAGGTCTACATCGCGTCCGCGGTGATTGCCACGGGGTGGGTGCTGGCGGCCCCGGTCTTCCAGCACATCCACCGCAGACTGCGCCGCTTGCCGCCGCCCAGGGGTGCAGGGTTTCCGCTCGAGCCGGAGTGGCGGAAGGACGGAGCACGGCCTATCGTCGAGCTGGGCAGTGGCCGCGAGGCCGGCTGGTGGCAGGTGTACATCGACGACTTCGACGCGCCCGAGATCGCGGACGAGGTGCGGGCGCGGCAGCTTGTGGGCACCGAGGCGGACTGCCAGCGGCGCGTTCGGGAGAGCTACAGGCGCGCTGGCGTGGCCTACTCGGCGGGGAAGGCTCACCTGCGGGAGACGCGGGTTGATCGCATGGGGGCCGACGTGGATGGCGTCAGCGGACGGCTGGCGGCGCCAGGCCCCAAGGCGCTGAGCACCGCTGCCCTTTGCCTCGCGACTCTGTCGCAGGAGCGGGCGCCCTGGCGGGTGACGGTCGTCGGCAAGCTGGTGCGGGCTTTTGAGTTTAGACGCCCGCTTTTCGGCCTCCTCAACTCCGCATGGCCCCTGTCGACGGCGCGATCGACGGTCCGATGCAATGCCGAGATGGTCGAGGAGCTCCTCTTGGGCCTCACGTTGCTGCCTACAGCGGCCACTTCTCTCCGCGCCCGCATCGAAGGGATGGCCACGGTCTCAGACGCCTCCGAGTTCAGGGGCGGCGTCTGCGCGTCCACGAGCCTTCGCGGGGAGGCGGCATCGGCGCTCGAATCCGTGAGCCAGGTCGCTGATCACCTCGGCGTGGGCGCTCGGCTGCTCAACGTGCTTGTAGACCCGCGGTGCCCCTGAACTGTGTCTAAGCCGAGGATCCCGAGGGCAGTTGTGTTGAAGGTGCTCAATGTCCTAGTCGTGGGGCTCTCCGACGGCATCAGCGGCCGCGCGGTGTCGCCCCCGAGGTTGCCCGTCAGGATCGTCGCCTATGTCACCGCCGAGACCGACGCGAAGGCCAGGCGAGTTGTCCGGCTGAGCTGGTCAGGCGCGATCGATTGGGGCGACGTGGCGCGGGTGGACGAGAACCTGGTGCAGGACCTCTTCGACGCGTTCTCGGGGGCGGTGGACGCGCGCATCTCTGGCGCGGGCGGCCCGTGCCAGGATCTCTCGCGCCTCAACGCGAGCGGTGGAGGCCTGCATGGCCGCAAGAGCTCTCTGTTCTACGAGGTGCCCAGGATCTTCCGGCTCTTGCAGCAGACGTTCGGGCGGCGCTTCTACTCGCTGCTGGGGAACGTGGCGAATATGACAGACGAGTATGTCAAGGCCATGTCCAGCTGCATGGGAGTTAAGCCGTACTTCATCTGATCGTCGGTCATGGTGCCGTGTAGCAGGCCGCGGTTCTTCTGGCTCAGCTGGCAGCTCCAGGTGGCACCGCCGCTGCGCCGTGTCGACAAGGGCTGCTACATCGAGGGCGTGGCAGACAACGGGCCGCTGCTGGACATCGAGTGGGAGGACCAGGGGTTTCGCTGGCCCGGGCGCCCGCTCCCCTTCCCGACGCTGGTGTGCTGCAGGCCGCCCCCGAGCTTCCCGTCGGCGCCGCGCGGCCTGGCCTCGGCACCCAGTGAGGCGCGAGCGCGCTGGCAGGCCGATTTCGCCCGCTATCACGTTGCGCTGTACGAGGGGGAAAATCTCGCCCAGGATTGTTCTGGGAAGCTGCCAGGGAGACTGCCAAGCTGCGCGGTGAGAGAACGATTGCTCGGGCTCGATGAGGGTTACACCGCGGTAGCCACGAAGGGCTCGAACACGCAGGCCGCCTCAGACGCCAGGGCGTTCCTGTTCGGGAACAGCTTCAGCGACTATGCGGTCGCATGGGCTTTGAAGCACGTCCTCCTGGCGGAGTCCGCTTTGGCGCGCCCCCTGCCCGTGCCCGAGATCGCGCGCGTCGGCCAGCGCCGCGAGACTTGGGACCAGCGCGGCTGCTTCGAGGACAGCGCGGGCGACCCGAACACCGAGGAGGCCAGGCGTCTCGTCCTCCACTGCCTGAGCTGCGCGGAGAAGGTGGGCTCGGACGCGCGGCTGGACTGCGGCCTGCCGTGCCGTCCAAGAGGCTGACCTCGCTGGAGCCTGGGCCCCTTGCGCGGCGGCGGCGCGTCGTGCTGAGCACGGCGTGGCCGCGCGAGCACATCGACGCGAGAGAGCTGCAGGCGGCGCTGGCAGCCATGCGATGGCGAGCGCGGAAACCAGCCCGACACTGCACTCGGTGGCTTCACCTCGTCGACAGTCAGGTCGCGGCGGCCATCGTGACCAAGGGTCGCAGCAGCCGCCGCCGCTTGCAGCCAGCGCTGAGGCGCTGGATGGCCATGGCGATCGCGGCGGACATGTACCCGCTGATCGGCTACGTGGTCTCGGAGGACAGCCCGGCGGACGAGCCGTCGCGCAAGCTGTGGCGTGGCTCACGGTTCAGGAAACGCGGCGACGCGCGGCCCGCTGCGATCCCGCGCGGTCCGCGGGTGCCGTGCTGAAGCGGCGCGGGAAGCGCCAGCAGACCCTCGCCTCGCCACGAGTGAGGTTTGCGACTCGAGCGAGGTACACTCGCGCAGTGCAGGACCAGCTGAGGCACTGCGGGGTGAGCCCTCAGGAGGTGCGTATCCTGGGCGACGAGGCGGAGGATGCTGACAGCCTGGTCGCCAGCTATGTGGAGGCTACCTGGCAGAGCGGAGCGGGCATCGCGCTGGCGAACAACACCGTCGCGGGCGTGTGCTTCCTGCTGCCCGAGCTGCGGTGCAGGCTGGACCAGTCGCGGGCGCTGCTGAAGGCCTGGCGTCGAGCGGAGCCTGCAGAGCGGGCGCTGCCGCTCACGCCCGACGTCGTCGCGGGCCTGGCAGGCCTGGCGGCGGAGGCTGGAGCGTTCGACGTGAGTTGCTTGCTGCTTATCAGCTTCGAAGGCCTGCTGCGGGGTGGCGAGGCTTTTGCGTTGACGACGGGCGACGTTCTCGACCGAGGTGACTCAGTCGTGCTGCGGATCAGGACGTCTAAGACGACAGCGGGCAAGGGCGCTGCAGATGCCGTCGTCATCCGGTCAGCAGTTGCCAGGGCAATGCTCAGGCTGGTCGCGCAGCAGCGGCCCGCAGGCGAAGCCCTGTCGTGGAGGTCGCCCGCCCAGCCCAGAGGTGCGCTCGGGGCCCTCACGCGCGGCCTGGGCCTTCCTGGGCGCTTCTCATGGCACTCTGCCCGACGAGGAGGCGCCTCAGATGTTTCCTTGCGGTCGGCCTCCATGGAGGCCGCGCTCGTCAAGGGCAGGTGGGCCAGCAGCATGACGGCCCGCATCTACGCCGAGGGTGCGGTGGCAGACCTCGCACGCTTGCGGCCCGCGGGCCAGGCCGCCGCCGCTCTTTTACACAGACTGCGTTTGTTGCGAGCGTTCTCAGAATTTTGAGCAGGTGTTTTTTCTTTTTGTAAAAAACTGCATATACTGACGAGCTTCGCTCTGGCAATGATCTCGTGTTTCCCAATTCGAAAGCAGACTACGGCACTGCAAATGAGGTGGATGAGGTGGAGAGTTTAACCGCATTTTCACGGCTAGTAAACCACGAGGGGGTTGAGTTGGTATAGCGTGTTTTCCTCGTTTTTTTTTGTGCGGTGCCGCGGACTGGGGTTCAGTGGGACTTGGGTCCTGAAGCGCCCCCTCCCTGTCGTGAAGCTGGCACGTGAAGCCCAGAGCGAAACCAGTGTGGACTGCCACGCTTGGTTGCTGTGGCTGCGGGGTTATTGCTCTTGGTTTGGCGCAGCTGCGGGGGAAGGGGGCGTCGGGCGGTTCGCGGCGAACCGCAATCTGATGGGGAAACTGAGCTATTAGACCATTGGCGTGGGCACGCGCAATAAAACGGTATGTCCGTATACAGGCTTGTATGTACCCTTTGGTGCGTGTATCCCCTACGCCGTCTACCCTCCGCTCCAGAGCTGTTCTGGCTCCCGACCCTCTCACCGCCCACCATACTGATCTATTGTACAGGCTAGCCAGCTCAATGCTTGCCTGAGGTGCCGTAGCCCATCAGGTATAGCGTGTTTTCCCTGTTTTTGCGGTGCCGCGGACTGGGGTTCAGTGGGACCTGGGTCCTGAAACGCCCCCTCCCTGTCGTGAAGCTGGCACGTGAAGCCCAGAGCGAAACCAGTGTGGACTGCCACGCTTGGTTGCTCTGGCTGCGGGGGTCTTGCTCTTGGCTTGGCGCAGCTGCGGGGGAAGGGGGCGTCGGGCGGTTCGCGGCGAACCGCAATCTGAGGGGGAAACTGAGCTATTAGACCATTGGCGTGGACACGTGCAATAAAGCTGTATACATACGTATATATATATATATAGATAGAGCACCACGTAGATTGAACAACACATATTGCACAACGCAGAGTGCTAGAACGCACGTTGTCTGAGTTCCACGCTGTTTAACATTTTTCAGTCTGAATTATTATCGTATGTGCCGACTGTAGCGCGGGCCTCGCGAGGACCGTCTTCTCCGTGCCGGGCGGTTGACACCGCCCGCTCGGCGGCGGCTGCGAGGGCACGCCGGCTCCGCGCCGCAGGCTGTGGGAAAGGTGAGGTTGCTGCAGCGTGGGCCTCACGACGCTGTTTCGTCTTCGTCCTCCTCCGCTATCGTTCCTCCCTCCCTTTCCTTCTCCCTTCCCTTGCTTTGTCCTCATATTCCTCTTTATACTCCTCCCTCCGTTATGGTCCTTTTCCCCCCTTCATTTCGTGCAGCTTGAAATCTGGTCTGACTAGCCGAATGTATGAGTTCCAATGTTAAAGCAGCATGCCTGTGCAAGAAATCTCTCGCACGAATCAGCTGCCATCAGCTCTGCGGCAAAATCTGATACAGAAATTGCACGATCAATTCTGGCAGTTGCAGCGGTTCTGGCAATCCGTTTCCCGTGTCCACGTGCTTCCATCAACCAGGCGGACGCCGATCGGGCAATGATCCTCTCCGCCGTCCGTCGCGCTGGATCTGCACACTCACGTCTTCCAGCTTGAAACTTGGACTACAGTGTTCAGCATGTTGCCATTAGTTCTGCAAGGCCATGATTGCGTTGACTAGGCGATCGGCACGCTGCTTAATCTCACGTCTCTTCCAGACAGATGGTTCCATCCACGCTTGCTGCGGGTAGCGCCCCAGTGCCAGTAGCTGAGCATGTCGACCAGACACCAGGTGCAATAGTGGCGCATGGTGCAATGTGCTCGAAAGGGGCGAAGTTCACCCTGTCAGAAACTCGCCACCTCCCTCCATCCATCCTTTATTCCTCCTACTTTGTCTCTCTTCCTCACTACCCCGGTCCATCCGCCCTCCTCCCTCCTCTTCTCTCCTCTCACATTCCGCCTCCCTCCTCGTCCTCGCTCCACACGCTGCTTCGTCGACTGTATCGGAATGTCGATTCAACTGCGCTTGCGCTTGTACGCCAGGACCCTTCCGAGTTGAGTTGTTTCTTGTTGCGCTGCAAAACTTTGTGAGGCTTAGCTAAGCTAGATCAACCTGCCCATTCTCCAGAAGCGGGAGCAGGAGGAGGATACCGCGTATGTGGCAAGTCCTTTTTGATCTAGCCGGGTACGTAACTAGTTGTGTTGATCATGCTGCAGGTTACAGTATCAAGAAGCGGTGTTGAGACTGCGCAGTTGGCGCTGACTGAAGCGGGGGTGGCGCCTTCCACTGTCAGCTCCACTGCCTGCACACGAGTTGAGCACATGAATTCATTTGTTGTTATTCGTTTCGGCGACGTGCAGGCGACAAGGGTTTTCTTCTAAGCAGCCCCAAGAGCGGTGCATTCGTGATGTCCATGACAGTACGCCACTCGAAAACACTCTAGGCCCTGCCATGCATGGGTTCTGACTGTCAGGTAGGTCTGCGTTCGGTGGCCTTGACATGGACGTCGTTTTGTCTGACTGTGACTGCGCAGTTGGCGACACGACGTGGACGAAGCGATGCCCCTGTCGGATTGAATTTGTGGACGGCTTTGGCAGAGGATTATGGATTATGCTACACCGGCGAATGTTTACTGTCATATTTGCGGGTTGGAAGTTTGAGGGAAACGCGTTTCAAGTTTCATTGGGCCTCCCTCCAAATGTGACGGATCGTGGTCGATACGGTGCCGTGGGGGGGTGATTTTTTGCACGTCTCTGTGCCACGCGGGCCCTGGCGGATTTTCAAAGCGCGCGCAGTATGTTCGAGTCAGGTCAAGCAACACCACTGGGATACTGATGGCCTTCTCCCATGAGAGGGGAGGGGAGTGCGAGGAGATAACTGAGGAGGGTGTGGAGGAGGGTGAAGAGGAGGGCGGAGGTCGAATCATAGGACGGGGAAGCAAAGAACAAGAGGGGAAGGATGGGGACGAATCTCACTACACCAGGTGCATCGTGCAAGGAACCAGCCTGCTATCAGGTGCTCCTCGGAAACTTGTCGCCCCTCCGCTGGACCCGCGCCTCGGGTCACCAGGTAAGCTCAGAGCTCGTCGACATTGTGCCCCTTAGATTTCCTTGGCATCGCTAGGGCGTGTGCATTGCATCTCGGCGAGGACCCTCGATCAGCATCTTGCGAAACATAAGCCCACGAAGCCGAAAAAAAGGGGAATGGGCGTCCGAGCGATAGCAGATTTCTGACAGCGGCATTGCGAAGGCCTTACGCCCAGTGCCGCCGACCCTGAAAGGGGACGACTACGACGCTGCTTTGGTCTCTTGGGGCCACCTTCGGGGTCCTCTTAGGGCTCTTTGGGGCCTCGTGGGTGCCTCTTGGGGGCTTCTTGGGTGCTCCTTAGAGATTTCTCATAGCGAGGTTTCTTTTCGTATGTGTCCACCGTATCCTTGTGGTTTTCGCTGCACTGCTTGGGATTCCGTAGACTAGTGCGTACCACACTGCAGCGCGCGGCGCCGAGCTGCCGCGGCGCGAGTACAGCGGCTTGACTGGCCCTGCGTGGCCTGCCGCCGCCAGCGGAGAAAAGCGAAGACGGCAGGATACAGGGATCGGAAATGAGCGCCGACTTCACCAACCTGCCAAGACATCTGGGCTTTGCAACTCTTTTGGTACCGGGAGTCTTCGTTTGGTTTCGGGCCCCGGGCCGTCACGGATCGATCTGGCTCGGAAAACGTAACAGAAACATGGGGCCTCGAGCTCCGGCCCTGATTTTTAACGATGTTGCATTTTTTCATCACGTTGCATCTCAGGGTGGGGATGCGTGTGTCGGCGTTTTTTGGGGGAAGTACTCTGGTTCCCACGGGGATGAGGGTGGAGGGGGGTGGATGGAGGAGGAGGAGGAGGAAGAGGAAGAGGGGTCATTATTTTGCTGATGAGCATGTGGCCTTCCCCTTACGTCTCTCCTCTTGTCGGACGGCTACCGTTCGTCAGCGCACGAATGATACCACCGCGCGTGGCCGCGGCGCGTTTGAGAGGGGACCGCTGCAGAGCGCTGCATAGCAGGAAGAGAGACCAGGAGGAGGAGGAGGAGGAGGAGGAGGAAGAGGAGGAGGAGGAGGAGGAGGAGGTCTGGACCTCTTCGTAGCCATTTTGGCTCAAGTTCGGAACACTTGTCGTGGGGCTTCGAGCTTTGGTTCCCGCCTCCGTGCGACAAACCTCGAGGGTGCGCCTGGACGCACGCCGCGGGCATTTGCCCCATCTCTTTCTTACGATTCCGTCAGGACTGAGACACAATCCCCTCAATCGCCTCGCTACGCTGCCATGGCTGCCGCGGCTTCGCGAGATAATGATGAGTTTGAACGGCGACAGCGAGCGCGAACCGACCAGGTGGGCATTGAAGAGTTCGAAGGACCCCGCTCGCAGGTCACTAACACCAAGCAACACATGCTGGAGTCCCTGGCCACCATGCAGGCGTCGCTCTCCGCCCTGTCCGCCTCCGTCACCAGCGGGATGGACGCGGTGGAGGAGAAGTTCGAGCTCCGCTTCAGCTCCATGGAGAAACGCCAGTCCACCCAGGAGGAGCGCGTCGACCATCTCGAGGCGCAGATCACCGCCCTCCACCTCGCCCTCGGGGAGGTCACGTCGGACCGCCGTGCTCCTCCTCGCCCTGCTGGTTTCAATCGCAACATCGACCCCACCATCCTGCTCCTCCGCTCCGAGCTCTCCACTGCCAAGGCCGCCGTGCTGGCCTCACCATCTGATTGGCTCTCTCGAGCCCAGCTGGAGCAGGACGACTTCGCCATCGAGGGCGACCCTGTGCCCAGCAAGTTCGTGCTGCGGATCAAGGGCGCTCGTGCCTGCGCTGCCCGCGACGTGCAACAAACCGCCGGAGTTCTTCGATGTGCTGACGGTGAATGGGAGCGCTTCCGTGTCGCAGCTCCCGCAGGCGAGCAACAGGAGCTGTTCATCTCCCCCGACAAGAACGTCGCCCCGATCAAGCGCGAGATCGCACTCAAGAGAGTGCGCAATATCCTTGAGCAGAAGCGCC